ATGACTAAACAGTATATATAGAAATAACAACTACAAAACAATCAAAAACAAATGTTGCATAATTATAAAAAACAAGCATATCTACAAAGAAGAGATACAAGAAGAAACCTGCCATCACTCCTTTGCAGAGGTGAGATGTCCACAGAATGGAATGTTGCACATAAGGTCAAATTTTTGGATTTTTTCTTTTCTTCTCTTTTTAAAAAATTCTTCATTACAAGGGAAAGGTTCTCTGGAAGGAGTAAGAAGAGGGAAAAGGATAGGGAAAATCTAAGTAATGTAAAAACAAAAGATCAATAAAAATCAATTAAAAAAAGAATAATATCTTTGTGTAATAAAAAAAACCTTGTTATCATAAAAGTGTTATAGAGATAATAGTATTATAAAGCTTTAAGCTATAAGAGACCTTAGAAATTATCTGATCCAGCCTCCCCATTTTGTAAATAAGGAAACTACTAAAGGATAGGAAGATTAAATAACTTACCTATGGTTACATACATAGTAAATAGTGGAGCGAGGATTTGAAATCAGGTCTTTTTTATGATAAAACACTCATTTCCACCACACCACACTGAAAAAGCAGCAGCTATATGGATATTTGCTGATGTCTTTGTGAACTTCTTTTGGGAGGTAGAGAAGGAAACACCATCTGTGATCTATATATTTAAAAAATATTGTAAGTAATTATACCTTATATTATTCTGACAGACATTACATAAAGAGGTTTGTTCAAGAAGGAGCAGGAGAGAATGATAGGTATCGTGTTGGTTGTCTGGTTGGATAGAACATGCTAAAAGAAAGAATTTATGACTGGGCTCAATAAATTCAAATAATGCATTGTGCTCATAAAAGAGGCATGATCTTATTAAAATACCTACTTATAATTTAAAGTACAAAAATTTCATGTGACAGTGTGATATCATTTTGTTAGAATCAGCCATACTCTCCCCAGCAGAACTCTATTTCCTGGTGGAATTCACACTGTCCTTGTTTCTTAATAACTGTCATCAGTTAGATATTATCAGAAGTTGGTTTCTGAAGTTTAAATAGAGCCTGGTGGCTGTGTGAGCAGAGATTCCATAAAAGAAGAAATTAGAAATGAATATATCAGAACTTAGAGCTCTCAATGGAGAATTTAAAAACTAATTAGCAAATTAGAAAAATGAATTCATAATAAAGAGCCTCTCTAATGGAGTGAAAGAAATGAAAAGAGTTGCAACACAAAAATTCTGAAAAGGAGAAAAATCTGACAGAGGAGAAACAAAAGGAAATAACATCAAAAGATCACATGAAATCTCTATGAGCCAAAGTGACTAAACTTGAAGAGAGGATACATAGAAATAGCTTAAGGATAATAGGTCTCCTGAAGACTATAACAAATTAAAAAAATCTAAATGTCGCAATCTAGAATAAAACTTTCTAGGACTTCTATAAATTTTATAATTTCAAAAACAATAAATTTTGCAAGCATTGAGAAATACCTTCAAATATGAAGTAAAGTAATTAAGATAAAATAATAAAAAGAGACTTTTATGCAGGTACTAGAAATTTCAGAAGGGAATGGGATATATATTCTGAAATGCAATGCTTAGGCTGCAACCCAAAATGACATAACCTGCAAATCTGTGCCAAATCATCAATTAACAGAGATGGATATTCAACAACAGAAACACATTTCATGAATTTCTGAAAAAAATAAAAGAAAGAAATGAAAAAAAAATGTGAGCCGAATATCCATCTGGCAAAAGCCGTAAGAAATGTAAATAAGTACAGCTCCCAAGGAGAGTCAATAAGTAATGATATCAATTATTTCATCTTTAAAAATTACTTTTAAAAAAGGAAAGAGATAAAGAGTAACTCTTGAGAAAAAAAAACAAAGGATTATAAAGGGCTTTTGAAAAGAATGTAAGAAGATAAAGGTATAAGCAGAACTTAAAGAAACAGAAAAAGTGTTGGTTGTGTATCAGAAATGAAACATTAAGGGCAAAATCCTCTCACTTTCCCCTCACAAATGACTCAGTGTATTTTGTGTGACAGAATAACAGAAGGGTGCATAAATGATGAGAAGGGAGTTGGGAGACAGAGGAAACAGATGATGCACCACTCCCAAGTCCATGGGTGAATAGCAAAGAGATGGTAATTCCTATAGTTTTTCAGCAAAAGGAAAAACTGCAGGATAATAGGAGAGGGATTGAATCTCAGAGACTGAATGGGGAAGTGTCACTCCAAAAGGGGTAATGGGAGCACTGATGAAAAGGACTCCCATGGGGAAATAGGTATGTGCTTTTGATGAAAGATGTAGATCTCAAAATGGGTTTAATCTAGGTTTGGTTGGTTCATTAGAAGTTTTCCTTCTCTGAGAAATTGCTATGCCTCTGTGGGCAACATCGTAGCCTAGGAGTAGGGATTATGGAGCTCCTAAAGGGAGCTGCCACTCAGAATGATGGTGGTGGTAGGGGTAGGGGAATCCAGAGATTAGAGAGCATGGCTTTTGGGAAGAAAAAATTAACAAGAAATCAATTGAAACTGAATGCTGTGAAATTATAAAAAAAAATACCTCCCCACTCTGAGGGGGACTATGAGTGTGGAATTTTATATAGATTGTCAGACTTTGTTTTTCGATGTGTTGGTTACTTTTATTGAACTGTTTTTTGTTTCTTTTTTTAATTTTAAAATTCTATGTTATAAACTACAAAACACTAGGACAAGTACATTCATAAATGCTGGTGATATGAAAATAAAAGCTATCAATAAAAATTATTTTTAAAGAGACTAACACTTATAGATGAATTGCATTAGTGGAAGGAGTTACTATACTGAGAATTTCCTACGTTGATGAAATCAGACACACACACACATATAGTTTGTCTCTGTCTCACCAGCACTTGACGTTTTTTTTTTTTTTTCAGTAAATGTGTCTTAGGGATCCAGTAGCATGGAAAATATAAGCTCTTTGAGGCCAGGAACTCATCATACTCCCCACATCTAACACAATGCCATACACATTTAGGTATTTATTAAACATTTGTTGAATTGATCAAACTGATTGAATTAAGAATGGGAACCTGTTTAAAAACAAAACAAAAAATGTAAAGATTTGACTTGTGTTACACCTCCAGATGAATCTCCTGTGGTAAAACACAGTTCTGGAAATATCATTAATAATGTTTGTACAGTACTGTGTAATATATGCAATAGTTACGACTGCTCTTTATTGAACGTGAACTTTTCTGTAGTAATGAAAATACTGAAAATATTGTGTTTTCCCATTTGAGAAAATAATAATACAATAATAGAAGATGTCAGATTTAATAGACAATTTATTTCATTGTTTTTCTTTCACTATAGCATCTGGTGTTGAGAAAAACAATAGCCTTTCTTGGGACCACGAGGCTACTTTCTCATCATTCTTTCTCATTTGTCCCTGCTTATGGTTGTTCCTTTCACTGCTACAGTTGAGCATGTAGAGTTCCAGTACATATTGAGAATGTCATTTCTTTCTTTCCTTTACCTTACAGTATCAATGGCCTCTATGTTTGTTGTAGATTAATTATAAATGATTGATGAAAGGTCAGCACTTATCTAAGCAACAAGAAATATGTTATTGATGACATTTGAGTACATTCTGTTGTGTACTCATATTTCATATTGATTGTTGCTTATTTGGAGCCTATGGCAATGATTCTCTGTTAGAGTTGCATATTGATCCACCTGGTATGGATCATGTTAATAAATATGTGTATAGTTTATATAATCTCATAATCAATCTCAAAGAGTCACCATTGCCTAGAGTGCTTACTAATTTCAACCTAATATTCTCATATTGGAAGAAAAACTTATTTGTTATTCACTTATGTAAAAAAAATTCTTTTTTAATTATAAAGATGGAGTCCTCTATTAATCCTACAATTGTTGAGCATGATTGCAAATTACCCAATATCTTTTTTAATCTTTCTAGTTTTTTAACTATTTTGCCTGATATGACTAGGAGCTATAACCTACTATTAAAAAAGTATAGTATCAAACATGAGTTCTTGGTGTTGGGTAATAAGGTAAATAAATAAATTAAAATGAACATTCTATAACATAATTATATAATTTCAAGAACAAATGAATTCTTGATGTTGGGTAATAAGGGAAATGAAATAAATAATGGCAAATAAAAATTTAATAACACAATTTGGCATGAAGGGAAAGAATTTACCTACTCTAGGAGGCAAACACAATGTGTCTTATTCACTATTGCCAACTTTAATGACTTACAGCTATACTGGCCTGTGATCATTATGATGTTGAGTAAAATCTGAACTTGCAAAGAAGTAGAAAATCTTTGCAAGGCTATAGAAGCTTTTGCCTACCTTCCCCTAGGAAGTTAAGTGATCTTTTCATTCATTTGGCACAACTTGCCCTTAAGAAGTATAGAACAAAATCTGTTTTCTTTAGATGCACTGACGCAAATGATAAAACTCTGTATTTTCAAATAAAAATGGGATTCAAGAGAATTAACTCCAGCTTTCAGAATAGATCTATATCTTATGGTTTAATTAATTTGGACAGAGATTTATTGAAAACTTTTGTTTTAAAAAAGTACTCTTTTCCATGCATTCATCTTATTATAAAAGGAGTGAGCATGGCACTTTTTTTAAATCTCTTTCTGTAGTGAACCTTAAAGCTACCTGAATAAATAGTCTATATCATGGGTCCCCAGATAAAAACTTGATTTTGTTAAGGAGCGCTTTTGCTTAAGAGACATTGGGATATATTATAATGGACAGAAAGGTAACACATATTAGTTTTATGATTTTCAGCAAGTCACCCAATCACTGCCTCAGCTTCTAAGATTAGAAATTATAGTTGTCACACCAACAGTTTCTTATATCAAGGAAATCACAGGTCTGAATAAAAAAAATGCAGTTCAAAAAATCAAAAACAAAATTTATGGTTAATTTCAAAGAAGCAAATAGAAATATTCTTAATTTTGTTTCCATGTTTTCTTTTAGTTAATCTCCTGGATTCAAAAGCAATTCAAGGGGAGCTGGGCTGGATCTCCTACCCAGCACATGGGGTAAGTTCAGTAAATATATATGTATGTGTACACACACATATATGCACACATACACACACACATATGCATTTTTTTCATTGTACAATATGCTTTTTATGTTTCTTCTTCAGAAAACCCAAGTGGTAGGAGAAATGTTCTCAAAAGGAAAGCATTTGTAAACTTAAGGTAATAAGGTATTTTGATTGAAATTCTGAGTATGGAAATATTCAGTGTTTCAAGAGTGAAAAACATTGAGACTGTTTCTATCCTGTGGAACTCCTGAATTGACATTTTGACTGATTTTAATCCACGTAGTTTACATTGGTTTTACTGAACAGATCGTATCAACTGATTATTTTGGCATTGTCTGTATTGTCTTAATTGTCATAATTTAAATTTCTGAGTTGTGACATAAAGCTATATTTTGTATTTTAACATTTGAAGTGATTAGAATGCTGTTTTTCCAAGTTAAGTAGTTGCACTATAGAGATTTTTGAATCAGTTTTTAAGAAGTTTGAGAACTCTCCAATTAGTAATATGGAATTTTTTAAAAAAATGTTTCATTGATGACTATTTTGAGAATGGCCATGGAGACACCGTGGCTTATGTATCTGGAGGAGAAGCATATGTTCCTAAATTTCTTTGTTTTAAATAATTTCAGATTTTGTAGTCTAGAGCAGTTAAAAGTAGGGCATTTTATTTGAGGGGAAAAAAAAAAACAACTTGTGGGTTTTGACTTCAAATCTTAAGCTTCTCTAAAAAGTTCACAGTGATTTTACAAGCCAGAGACAGATTAGCAAAGTGTGTGGCCTTTTGGGATTCTTGTTGTTTTATGGTGAGTCCTTTGATTGTGCCTTTTTTACCCTGTATCATTCCCCAGGAAAGGAAGGGAGGAAGGAAGGGAGGGAGGGTATACATTTGAAAGCTACTGGTTTCTGTAAATTATAGGATGAAAGCTGAAACAGATTTCTTCCCTTCATTTCCTATTATAGCTTGTGGACAAGGTAGAACTCTATTGTGATATGTGTGTGTGCATGTGTATGTGTGTGTGTGTGTGTGTGTGTGTATGGAGAGAGAGAGAGAGAGAGAGAGAGAGCAGAGTTTTATGTGGCTTTTCCTTTTATGATTGTTTTTTCAAACAAATTACGGTCTCCTCCACTTAATAGTGGCATTTTTGCTTGTTTTTGTCCTATAGATAACAGCATCTAAGTTAATACCAGCTCCTTTTCCTACAAATGATGTTTTATATTAAGGATACCCTCATGTGTCTGTCACCTTTGTATGTTTCTCTTCCTAGCACACCTTGATACTGACACGATGCCAAATCTCCTACTTTATCCTACAGAATATCACATAATCTGTGTTTCATTAATTGATCTGAAAAGGAGGACAGCCAAGACTGTGGTTTCCCCTTAGGTATAAAATGATTTAAGTAGTTAGGATAAAAATAAAGGGACAGTGATTGTGATGAGTGAAGTCAGAACTCAGTTTTGCACAAGGAAACTCATTTTGAAAAATTAGGGTCCTCAAAGTCAATTTTAACTCCAGTCTTTAACCCTTTGAGAAATTATTAGATTATATTTAATATATTATTCAGGAATGCCAACTAGGAGCTTGGTAGAAAAAAATTCAGTGATTGTTAATATAATTAATTTAACATGAGTGTCAGAGTGTACAAACTTAGTAACTTATTAGATAGAGAGTTCACTAAGGTTCAGAAAAGTTAAGTGACTTGGCTATGGTCACATATTAAATGTCAGGGGACAGATTTAAGCTCAAGTTTTCTAACTCCAAGTTCATCACTTTCTCCATTAAGTCATGCTGCTCCTCTGTTTAAATATTTATATCAAGATTAAAGTCTCTATTTCATTTTTTAGAGTTGATTGTCAGGAGAATATGGATTTGTGGATTGGGCATGGCCAGAAAAGATATTGACATTTAAATTTTAATATAAAGACTAAGAAAAAAAAAGTTGGCATTCTCTTTTAACTGAAAATGTTTGATGTAAGAGACTCTCAAAGGTAAGCACCTTAGATAATCACCCTATCCCCACCTTCTTCTCTCTTCCTGGCCCTTCACCCCTTTCCTAATCTCCCCACTCTCAAAAATTTTAGAATTTATGCAATGAATAGTTCTCAGTTTCAAACTCTGCTTTTTTTTTTTTTTGCCTCAGAAAGCCTCTTTCTATTTCATTGGCAGATCCTCTGCTCTACAACTTTGCTTTATTGATCTGCCTGCAGCTGTGATTCCCCAGCCTCTGATTCTTAAAAGTACAAGAAGTGAAACAGCTGGCATAACTATAGTACATCATCCTAGAAACTTCCAGGGGGGAAACAAACCAAACCCCCCCAATTGGTCATGATACCCTATACTCCAATTTTGGAGGGGGGATAAAAGCAAAAAAAAAGGGTAGAAAAACATTTTATAGTTTTAGTGAATATGGTTCATTTAAAACTTTAAAAAGTTAAATGTTCAAGATTCATGATGTCAAACCAGAATTTTCATGAGGAAATAGATCAGGGATGGGGAAACTGTGAACTTAAGGCCATATGTGGCCTTTTAGGTCCTTGTGTGCGACCTTTTGACTGAGTCCACGTTTTACAGAACAAATCCTTTTAGTAAGGGGACTTATTCTGTGAAGTTTGGATTCAGTCAAAGGGTTGCACTTGAGGACCTAGAGGACCACATGTGGCTTGAGGCTGCATATTCCCTACCCTTGAAATAGATGATACTGTTAATTTAAAATGCAATAATATATGCCTATCAAAGAAATGGGTAGAATAGTATCATTCCACATTAAATTATCCTTGAGTGTCTAATAGAATCAATTTTTGGATAGGTTTAGTTAATTCTTATTCTTGGAAGTTATCCACTTGCCTGCGTATCAAAATGTGTGGTAATTTAAGTTTCTAGAAAAGCCCTAACAATTGAAATTGTTATTATGACTATAATTTGCCATAAAAAATGATGTTGTAATAGGAGGGAACATCTTTTTTATAGTCATTTTTATGTTAATTAAACCTGGTAAACAGTCCTGCATCTGTCTGTCAGCTACCTAAAATATGAACTTAAACTTCAGGGGAAAAACATTATAATAAAGATGTCACATCATATTGAAACATTGCTAATACTGCCGTTGTGATTTACAAGGTAAAGCTAATAGAGTTACACTAGGGGTTGTGATTCACTAAATAATGTGTTGGTAGAATGCCAGCCCCTTTTCTAAGTTTCAAAATGTTTTCATCAGAAACCATAAATGAAAGTCTACTGAGATTTTCTTTCTTTTTCTTTTTTTTTAGGATGCATACTTTAAAAAGTGATTTGTTACAAATATCCAATGAGTCTTTATTGGGCTAATAATTTTACTTGGGTTTTATAAAGCTTTTTTGCTTTTATCCCCCCTCCAAAATTGGAGTATAGGGTATCATGACCAATTGGGGGGGTTTGGTTTGTTTCCCCCCTGGAAGTTTCTAGGATGATGTACTATAGTTATGCCAGCTGTTTCACTTCTTGTACTTTTAAGAATCAGAGGCTGGGGAATCACAGCTGCAGACAGATCAATAAAGCAAAGTTGTAGAACAGAGGATCTGCCAATGAAACATCTTTTTAAAACCCAAATCTTTTCTAGGGAAAACAGATATGAGTGGTGTTCCAATTATCAATCAATTCCATTACATATATATATGTATATATATATGTATATATGTATGCATGTATGTGTTATGAAAACAAAAACATGATTTGTGTATGTATGTATATTCGTATATTCATACATATACATACATATACAAATAAGGTGTTTGTTTTCATAAACACTAATAACTAACCAGTGAAATGATGAATTTGAGAAGAGTATTTCTCTCACCACCTTGCAAAAAATAAATTTGAATCTGAATAACAGATCTTATTCAGAATCAGAAGAGAATCCAGAAAAATAGCTCGGAGAAAACAGAAGTCTCATGATTCATAGTCTAATGTCAAATCCCCCGAAGAAGCCTTATGAGCAAAGTCTAAAGGAATTGGGGTTATGTATCCTGAATAAAAGAAGGATGGTGTGGGATTAATATGCAAATATGTGAAGGGATATTATTCCAATGGTAGGGAGGACCTACTTGGTTTTCCACTAAAGGATTTGGGGAAGATATAAGGACTTACTGGCACTATGCTTCATGAAACCCAGGAAGATATCTCTAAAGGGAAATAGGGAATAACCTTTGGAAGCTGTTTAGGTAGAAAGAATAGCCTGCTTGTCTGGCTTAATTTATTATTTTTTTCTTCCTTAAAGTCAGACAACTTCTTCAGCCTTTGGTTTCAATCCCTATATTTCAAACTTGTTATTTTTCTACTACAAGTTAGGCATCTATATGTACACTCATGCATATGCATGTGTGCATGTATGTTTTCTAGAGATCAATGAATAGAAAACAGAGCATTAAGTTATATAGGCAAAAATCAACCTGTTTTAGATGGGTCTTCAGATTAATAGTCTTTTTATTCTTTAATCAAAGGTGATATAAGGCATAGTGAAGGATTTTTTATTAGTTTTGATAAAAAATATGTTTTACTATTAACTTAATAAACATCTTTTTAAAAATCCCAATTATTTTGGTATTTACTCTTTTGCCACACAGTACAGTTTTTGAAATTCACTTCAACTTTTCTTTCATTTTTTACATTTGGCCACAACAGGAAAAAAATAGAGAATTCTGGAATCATTACATTTAATTTTTTTTTAAATTTTATTCCTGGATTTCTAGGTCATCCTATACTGCCAGATCATAATTAGGAAGTTGTAATATCAATTCTTTGTTAATAAATGTTGAGGAAAGAAGCTTATTTTTCCCTCAAATTGTTTTCTATGTGCTACAGTACTTTTATTTAAGATTAATACATGTTATTCCAAATGTGGCCAGTCTGTATAATGCTTTGCTAGTCTGGATAAGTATTACTGTGAAAATGAAACTAGATTCTCCTTTCCCCATAGTAAAACTTCTTTGAGTTCACATCAGTTTGACCTGCCT